ATCTGCTTTTTTTTGGTAAATAGATAAATTACTATCTGTCTTTTTTTTCTTTTTTGGTGAAAGTGGAGATGATCTTCCATTATAATTACACTGATTATCTACCGAGTTTCAGAGGTATAAATTTCTGAGTATCAAAAAAAGAAGAAATTTGCAGCTTAAAAGCGTGAAAATGGTACGATCTTTATAAGAACCATGCGGCATGGACTTCCAAGAATACCAGCTATTCATTTGGCTTAAAAGTTGTTTTATTCTAAATTTGTTTTGTTTCTTCGTCTTTTGGTTTATCTTGATTATTGCAACATTTGGTTTCTTCTGTGATTTTCTAATAAGTATTAAATTTATATTGTTTTCTTCAGTGCTCGTTCACCCGGAGAAGCTTCTCCTGCACAACAAGATGCTATTCAACTAATAAATCGTCTATCTACTGGCAGTAACAATCAGGGTTAGTACTTACTCCAAATGTTACACTTCTTCTCCTCCAAAAGATGAGGCGAGTTTGAAGCCATTTTAAAAGAGCTATGGCTCTTAACATAAGTATCCAAATTAAGTTTTATGGGTTTGAGTGTTTGATCATGAGAGGAGCAGATCTACGGCTGAAGAAATGCTAAGAGGATAGCGAAGGAGGAGGAAGGGGGTGGGGGCAAAGAAGCAGAAGGGATTTTGAAGGTGGGAATGCGAAAAGAGGGGCCCATTTGTTAAAGATGATAAGAAAATATAATAAAGTAGTAAAAAGAAGTGGATGGGCCCAAATTTATTTTATCCGTTTTAGGCTTCAAACTCGCCTCATCTTTTTTTTTTTTGCCACATCAACATTTGGGTGGTATTAGTTCCACTAAAAATAAGAATTGGAAGGTAATAGGTCATCCGAAAAGATTAAGTGTGTATGTGACTTTTTCGGACAACTATAGGGTGTAACTTATGTATTTTCCCTATAAATTATACTATTATGCAACAAACATATATCATATATGTATGCACAGTATAATACTTATAGATATTAATTTTTCATATTTAAAATATTAGTGAAATATTAACAAGTTTGTTTGAGGAATATTTTAAGTAAATTAATAATTTTTGCTCACAGATATTTAACTTTCCTTTTAAGTGAAATTATGGTCTAAATACAAGTTCCAAGTTCTAAATACTCTTCTCCAACTTCAACTTTAATTTCAAATACTTCTTTTTCCTTTTATCATTTCAAATACTTATTTTTTTAAATTTCAATCTAGTAATCTCTTCTCCGCTCCTTTCAATTTGAATTTCACATGAGAATTTTAGAATTTTGATAAAAAATGAAGGTCGTTATGTCTTTTTTATGCTTTAGGCATCTCGTATTTGGAACTTACTAACCTAAGTAATCAGATTCACGCTGAGCTGATTGGTAGAGGGAAATGGATAAATTTACAAACAACCACTTTAACAAAAGCTATTTGAATAAAAGTCGCAATTCAAAAATTGATCTATATTTAGTGACATTTAAGACAAATTACCCCAATTTATTTATTTAAAAGAAGACATTAACTACAATATGGAGTTGAAAATGATGAAAATATTAGAGACGCGCGCACCTTCAGAGCTTATGGTGAAAGCAGTTGCAGAGATTGCTTTTGCATCTAAATTCTGTTAAACCCAGCAAAATTACAGTAACGGTGTCATGAAAATTAAATGGGAGAGAAAATTAGTACTCCGTTATATCGCCAATCTTCATCGGAGACCCATTATACCGCCTCTTCGCTACCGTCCAAATACGTGTTGGATTTGAAAAGTTAAGAAATTTATAGCGAAAGGTAAAGGGGAGTGCATGTTTTTTGTTTAGGAATTCCATTTTCTGTTACGGATTGGCTCTTTTCAGTTTAAGTTAATGCTTTTTTGTCAGTCGTGGACCAAAAAGTGTCCCATTTTAAAATTTAAAGGATATTAGTATTAAAGGTTAATATACTCGGAGTGATTTTATGGACATTAGTTGTGTGATGCCTCTTTTTATCTCACACATTTGTGGACCCATATCTTACACATTTGGGTCCACAAAATCCTGGGACAACAAAGTTGTGAGACAAAAAATAAAAATTTTCATATACTTATAAAAGATCTACTTAAACCTAGCCTCATACACTAGGGACAAATTGAAATTGTCCTAATTAGCTAGTTTTCCAAACGAAGGGTCTATTCTATTCGGCCGCGAAGGCAAAGCTCCTCCTCCCCTTCTCAATGTATCTTCTCTGCTTCCATCCTACACACTTGAGGTAAGTTTCTAAACAAAGGGCAATACGCCACTTGCTTAAATGCCTCAAGATTTTATGTTTGTTGGGTCTAGTATTAATACTGCACCAACTCACTACTCCTTTTTGTTGCTAACTAGTGTCTAAAGGTCTCGTCTTTATATGGATTCAAATTTTGCCCGGTCAATGGATGTAAACTTAAAGTAAATGTATAATATAAACTATATTTTGCTGTTTGTTGTTTTAGAAGTTGTTTTTTTAGCCATTATACTTGTTTTCTGTTTTATTGTTGGGTCCTTTCTTGAGTAATAAGCAGAGAATTGAAGACCTTGTTGATAATACTGGCTTGAGCCTCTTTTTTTAGTTTCAGCTCATTTTGTCGCAGTTTTTATGCTTGAAATCATAAGCAGTTGAATCTATACATGCGATTGTTCTTTGGCGTCCGAGCCTCAAAATTTTTCTGTTTTACATTTGCATTTTATACCGTAGAATTGTTAAAAGTTCTTTCTCCCGTTAATATTTTACATTTGATGATTATATTAGGCAAGTTTGAATAACACTCGATGTGATATATCATGAGATGCTATTTTAAGTAGTGATGCTGACATACTGTAGTGCTGGTAAAAGTGAAAGCTTTTATGGGCAGTTGGATTTGTGTGCTCTTCATTTCTTTTTTCCATTTCATTTAGGAAAAAACAATGGTTGCACATTTCGAAGGATGATGTCATTTTGTTGACCAAACCCTAGAATTATTTTGAGAAACATCTTTCATGTAGAGATTCTTTTTGTTAAACCATTTTATGTGCAACCAGTCAAGGGATGGAAATTGAGCTGGTCGTTTCACATTTCTATAGATAAAACAACCTTGTAGTGATTGCGTTATGCCTTGGTTGGTTAGTTTTCTGGTTGTTTGTTTTTTTTCTCTTTATTTTGGCATATGAATGACAGGGATTAAGGACATTCGTAGATTATCTTGCTCACTCCTATTTAGAAATCAATCGAGCAGTTGATAATCCAGAGATGGACAAAACCTGCTTTTTGATGAGTAACATGGGTGTGAATACTGTGCAAATTCTTCGAGAAATGAACAAACTTCATACATCTATCATGAGATTTGTATGCTTTTCTTGTTTGTAAAAAAAATTACCTTTCGGAGGCCTACTATTATTCACTGATTTTATTTTTTTATAAACAATGCTTTGACAAATGTTTTGCCTTTAGCCTTTTTCTCAACTGCAATAAGGGAATAGTACCGGTAAGTAGTAATTCAGCTGCTGAAGGGCAGAATTCTCCTGTATATTTCCATAATCTTAATTTTATATTGCAAGAGTTAATCTAAATCAAGAATATTCATGACAGGACAGTGGGAAAAAAAAGAGATAAGGTTTGGGTGATTAGCTCCAGCCAAAGGTTTAAACAAGCCTAAATTCCAGCCTTGATTTAAACAGGAAAACAAACGACAAGCTTCTTTGCTTAGTCTTTCTCTTTCCTGATTTGGCAGCTAATGCATATTTATTCTGATTTGCAAAGAAAATAGAAGTTTGACTGATCATATAGTGATTATAATGTGGTTTATCCTTACCATTCGCAAAAAAATTAGTGATCATGATGTGGTTTGTAAAAATGTGATGTGAACATTCTGAACATTCTTCAGTACATGGAGAATTTCCTTACCCCTGTTAATTGCCAGTCAATATTTTGGATTTTCTTTGCTCCCTGAACTTAGCTTAGCCAACATTGTACTGGAGCTAGCATTGCTTTTGTTTTTTTTAACTACTTTGCATCTTCGCCTTTCAATGATAATGCTCTTACTTCAAAAAAAAAAAAAACAAAAAAAAACTTCGATCAGTATGTAGGAATGGAAATGCTGTCATTTGGAGAATGTAAATTTAGGTGAAACAGCTGATGCTACTTTTTGGTTGCGCAAAGAGGCTTGTAAAGATATTGCCAATATCTTGTCAGGATCAACAGTGCCATGTCAGCGCCGAAGTCAATGTTGCTATGTCACAGAGGTGGGTTAAAACAATGTGGTTTAACTTTTCTCTGCTGGATCCGTATAATAGTATTGCAAACATTTATCTAAATTATTCTTGTTTGACTGAAGATGTGTGGCAAGACATCTATCTAACATTGTTTAGATTTTAATTGCCGACATTAATTTGAATTTCTAAGGCATACAAAGTTCAAACATGGAAATGATAATCCATGGTTTTTTTAATTGTTAGTAACTCTTGTTCTTTCTTGGCTAAGTGATAAAGAACTATATTTGTTTTTGATAATTAGGTAATAAAGAATTGTAAGAGTTTAGGGAAGCATTTTGCATGCTCGTTAAGTTTTTCCACAGATAAAATGGCATAATTAGTTCAATTTGAGAAAAGTACCTAGCCTACATGTAGATAATGACAAGCATAAGAAAGCATGTGGACTATGTTACTCGGTTGCAGCTTGAATTGCATCCCCTAACAGGTTTTCTCTCATTGAGAAAAAATCTTTTTTCGAAATTGCTGCTTTTCTGCCAAGTGATGATGGAGCACGTAGTCCTTTGTGAGAGGACATCTAGCAAATATAAGTGAAACAGGTGGAGTACTCAAACTAATATCACGAACACCGAATGTTGTATGTAGTACAATTGATAGGACAACTTCAAATGAAGTGAGACCTCAAGTACTGACAACCTGTAGTTTCGTTGGTTTAAAGAAACTATTCAAACTTAAATCACACGGTCATCGATCATTAACTTCATCCATATGTAGTGCTGGCAAAATTTCACATGGGTAAAATTTGGCTCAACCCATTTAAACCGCAATAAATATGAGTGAACGGGTCAGCCCATTTCCCCTATTCTAGGTGTAAATAAAATCTGATTCTTTTACTTCTCTTATGCTCTCTATCTACTTGGGGAATGGAGATCCCACCAGCTCCTCCTCCTATGGCGAGTAGTTCATCGTGAGCGGAATTTATAGGGGAGAGGGGATTTGACTGGCAGACACGTGGCTCATTATGCATTGCCAGATCATAAGGTTTAGCAATTCGATGGTGTAAGGCAATCGGCGCCGTTGATTTCTAGTGATATGAGCCTGATTGAGGTCCTTTTGATAGTGTTGAGGAAGAACATAATTTACTGATTAGAATCTTCAATATCA